CTTCAGCAGTAGGTGAGCCCTGTTACCTGAGCGTCTGAGCCCCACCCCAGGTTTAATGTGTGAGGCGAGGCTTCGCTTGGACCTGTGCTCTGCTCTCTCTCTAGGGAAGCTGTTTCCTTTGAGCAGGAATTCAGGGACCACTGCCCCCCAGGCTCCTTCATGCACCGAAACTGCTCAGGGGGTGCGCTCCTGCTCTCCCCCCTCTGGGAGCCCCCACTCAGCTCGTCCGTGTGCGTTTCTGCCCATTCACTCCTAATTCCCGTAGAAACTTCCAGAGCCCCAAGCGCCCGCTGTTCTTAGCAGAGCCCATGCAGACTGTGGCCGGGAGCCTCCTGGCCCCGCCGAGACGTCTTCATGATGATAAACAGCCTGCGAGCGTCACTCCTGCTGCCTCTCAAAGTCCCCGTGGCCCTTGTCCACGTGACCCGCATCATCGTGTGTGTGGCGTCAGGTGTCAGTTTTTACACGGCTGCGTCCGCAGTAGGACTTAATAAGAAAAGACGACCACAAAAGCTGAGTTTGTCGGTAGGTGGTCAAGTCATCCCCCTAAACCACAGTTTCACTTTCTGAGGTTTCATTTCCCCTTGGTCGGCCATGGTCCAAACATAATGAATAGAAAATTCCAGAAATAAACAATCCATAAGTTTTAAATTGCGTGCTGCTCTGAGGAGCGTGATGAACTCTCTCGCTGTCCCACTGCATCCGCCCGGGCTGTGACTCGTCCGTTTGTCCAGTGTCTCCAACACTGTAACACTCCCTCCCACTTGTGACTCAGTAGCCGTCTCAGGTGTCAGACCGACTGTCCCTGCATCACAGGGCTTGTGTCCGGTCACCCTGGTTTACTCCGCGATGCCCAGAGCACGAGCTCAGTGGAGCCAGCGCCGGGACTCCCCCCTCAAGTCAGAGGTTATGTCTGTTCAGGGGAAAAGTACCATATCCAGGGGTCGGTCCTCTCCGCAGTTTTAGGCATCCACTGGGATCCGGGAACGGGTCCGCCGTGGGAAAGGGGGCGACCATGGTAATAAAAAGAAGCCTCTTCTGTGGCGCCCGTGGAGCCTGAGCCGTGCTCTCTCCCCCAGGACTTGCCTCTCAGAAGGAAACGGGGCCGGGTCAGGCTGTGAGAGGCCATCTCGCTCCCGGTGAAAGAGCCGCACCCCAAAAACCCAGGTCAGCCCGGGGGTGTCTCCTGGGCAGTGAGGTGCAGGGCTGGGCACACATACACTCAGCGCATAGAGACACAGCCTACACGCACGCTCATAGCTCAGACTTGCAAGCTCACACAAGCTCGGCCCCATGGACACACAGGTGCACACACACACGCACGCACGCCCTCCCATTCCCGGGCACAGTCACTCCGGGGTGCAAGGCCCCCCTGTCCTGCCCCGTCCTGGCCGCCTGTCCACCTGCTCGTTTGGGGACAGGTTGCTGATACCAGTGGCAGCAGGTGCCACGTCGGCAGGTGCAGCTGGGTGCAGCCTGTTTGTTTATGTTCCTCCTTGGAAACGGTGACAGGGCCCCACATGGAGCCACGATAAAACCATAAAGTGGTTCCCACCAGGCCTCTCGGGCCTCGGGGCCTTTCCTGGTCCCTGCTGGGCCCTGCCTCTGCCTCCCTGCCTCTTCCCCTTCATCACCCCTCCTCACCCCTCTCCCGGGGCTCCTTCTGCAGAGGGGGAGCCGCTCCTATCAGGGGAGGTGCGTGGAGTTTGGACCCAGCAGAGTTCCCTCTCCTTCCTGGATCTGCCTGCGCGGTGGGTCCCTGTGGGACGCGGTGGTGGCTCTGTGGAGGTGGCTGCGTGGAGGTGGCTGCGTGGTGGTCTTCAGCTCTGTCAGACCACCAAGTGCTGAAGGAGCATTGCTCACTCCTGCCTGGGAGGAAGGCTGAGCAGCCTGGACCTGACCCAGGGCACAGTGTTTCCTCTTGACCACTGAAGGCAGCAGATGACCAGGGGCGCTCTGAGCCTGTGAGCGGAGCCGGCTGGAGGAGGGAGAGCAGGTGAGCGTGCTCCGCCGTTCCTGACCCGGCCTCACCCTAGACGCCACGCTCAGGGAATCACCTGGCGTCTCCTCGCTGAAGAGGTGCCACTCCCAGGGGTGGGGCCGCAGTCTGAGGGGCAGCTGCATGGCCGGGGCACAGATCTTGGGCCCACGTGGGTGCCAGCTGAGGCTAGGGTGTCCGCAGAAGCTGTGCATCTGCCCCTCAGATCAGCAGAGGGACACTGAACACCAGGACCTGCAGCTGGAGTCCCGGTGCCTGGCCGCCCATGTTCCTAATGGGCAGGGTGGCCCAGTGACAACGTGCGTGTGTCCTGACCAACCATGGTTCCATCGCACTGCGGCAGCTGCCTTCCTCTTTCGAAGGGCAGAGACGGAACATGAAAACCTGACTATTCTCACGTGGTCCCTGTCCTGGGACTGGGTCGAGCCACGTGGAGGGAACACAGGCGGGTGTGTGCATTTGCTGGAGATCTTTACCAGTTAATCAGGTGTTTGCAGCTCTGGATGTAAGCATGGGTTTTCTTGTGGCTGGCAGGTGGCTTGTCCCCCAGACTGTCCCCTTCTCTCTGGGTGGCTCTTGTGTGTTTTCATGGGAAATCAGTTCTAAGCGGAGGTCTCTCCTCAGACATCAGTGCCTGTGTTTCATCATAGTGGGTATGGGGACAGACAGGACGACTGTCATCAAGTTTCTGGACAAGGATTTGCAGTCGCTGAGCTGGGGACCCGTGACCCACCCCAGGCCCTGCTCACTCTCTGATGAACCACAAGGTCCCTGCAGTTGGTGGTAGTGACTGTCCTTCCCTGAGCACACATGTGTTTTGTTTATCACTGTGAGGAACAGGGTGCCTGGCCAGGAGTGTGCTCAGCGTACACGTGTGGGCAGGTGAGGGGGTGGCCCAGGTTGGCATGAGGTGGTCAGCTCTGCTGGGATGTTGGCATGAATGGGACTGGTGATGACCAGGTGCCATGTGATTCTTGGCCCCACGGAGCACTCTTGTTCTTTGGGGTGCATCCTGGGGCCAGGCTGGGTGGGTGGTGTCATTACACCCTGCCTGGTCCCAGGGGGACATGTGGGGGGGGGTGCCGGACACGTCTAGCTTCTGGCTGCACTCCTAGTGGCTGTGGTTTGTGTGACTCAAGTCCTGATATTTCATAAGGTTTCCATTTGTTCTCTCAACAAACGTGTTTCCAGACAATGAACTGAAAACATAACTGGTAGACTTTACTTTTAGGACAGTTTCAGGGTTACAGAAAAACCGAGCAGATAGCCCGGGGAGTCTCAGTGCCACGGCCCCCACAGTCAGCCTCACGTAATCGTGAGTGGGAGCGCTCCCCTCATTACGTTGTTGTGAGCCAGGATCGATACATTGTTACTAACCAGAGCCCATGGTCTGCTTTAGGGTTAGTCTTTGTGTTGTGTATTGTTTTTTAATTTTTACAGTTTTTAAGTTGGTTGATTTCACAGGGAGAGAGGAAGGGGGAGAGAGAGAGGGAGAGAGAAACATCGTTTGCTGTTCCACGTACTTATGCATCCATTGGTTGCTGCTTGTATGAGCCCTGACTGGATGTCGAATTTGCAATCTTGGCCTATGGGGATGACGCTCTAACCAGCTGAGCTACCTGGCCAGGGCTTTGGTGTTGTGCACGCTGTTGATACATTGTTATTAACAGAGCCCGTGGTTTACTTCAGCTTAGTCTTGGTGCTGTGCGTCCTGTGTGTTTGGACAACTGTGTAATGACACCTACCCACCATTGTAGCATCGTGCGGTTCTTTCACTGCCCTGAAACGCCCCCGTGCTCACCTGTCGCCCCCTCTAATCCCTGGTCCCCAGATCTTTTCTGTCTCCATAGTTCTGTCTTTTCCAAAACGTCATGTAGTTGGGATCATACGGTGCTCCGTTAACCACGGTGTCCCTGTCCACTGCCCTGTGTTTCCAAAGCCGTTTGTGGGTTTTTTTCAGTTTGTTTTGTTTTCTGTTTTTCATTCATTTGCCCACTTATTCTCTCACCAAATTTTACCATCCATGTGGATCTGAGGACACAGATGAGGAGGAGGTGCCCTGCTCTCCGGGACATCTCAGTGGGGGGAGCAGCTGAAGCCAGCGGTTCTGGAGAGGGGGAGGGGCTGCGGTGTGCATGTGTGTGTGCATGTGTGTACATGTGTGTGCCTCTGTGTGTGTGTGTGTGCACGTGCACGTGTGCATGTGGGTGTGTTGGTGGAGAGGATGGGGTGCCAGCAGAGAGTGCCCCTGCCCCAGACGAGATCATGAGTCAGGATCCTGGAGCAGTAATAATAGGTCTCAGACAAATGAATGACCATGTGTCATGCTCCTTGAGGAACTTAGAAAAATAAGCGAGAGTTATAAATAGTCACTGCGGCCACAACCAAGGTCATGCTGCCACCCGCTGCAGCCCACAGGACGGTTAGTCGGCCCCCGGGGGTTTCCGTCCTGGGCAGGCTGCGGAAAGCTCCGAGGATGGACCTGCAGGCGTCGTGGGAGGAGACCAGAGGGCCATGGTGGAGCCCGAGGGACCGCTTCCCACTGTCCCCCGCACAGAGCTCGGCCTGGAATAAAGGGACCACACTCACGTGGCCACATTTAGCCTCCGCCTCAGGCCCACGTGTGGAAGTAGCTCTGGAAGAGATGGTCCGTTGTGTGGAGAACGGAAGCCCGGGTGTGGCTGTGCGGCGGGTGGGGACCCCGGCAGGGCCCTTGCCTCCTCCGCGGGTGCAGTGGGAGGGGCCTGCCCTGGCTCCCACGGCCAAACCTGGGTCCCCTGGTTCTTGGAAACCGAAGATGCCCTGAGTATGAGGGGCGGGCACTTCCCTCGAAGGCGGGGCCCCACGGTTTCATTACATTGTCTGAAGAGACGGGGACTTCACATGCTGATCCTTTGCAACCGTGACCGTGGTCAGGCTCAGTCTCGGCTTTGGGAGCCTCGCTCCCCCATGACGCCGAGTTTCCCTTGACCCCCTGCTGACCGCGTTTCTCTCCCCCCAGGTGGTGCTGCCCCGCTGCGCCCAAGTCCACCTGGAGCAGGTAAGTCCCGGCTTCTCCTTGGGCCGGCGCTCTCTGTGCTGTGCCCGCCTCGGGGAGCACCCAGCGCCCTCCGGGGTCTGTCCCCGTTTGTAGGGGCCGCCTTTGGGTCAGTCCCCTTCAGGAACCCAGTCACTTGCGCCCAAGCTTCCTTCTCTGTGAAGAGGCCACACGCCCATTTTCTGAGCGATAAAAAGGCAACTGTGGGGAACACACCTGTGTTACCACGTGGTGGCTTTGGAACAGGAAGCCGGACAAATGCCACCTTCCTATCAGGCTATAGGTGAACTCGGCGACCCCACTTTCTGTTTGGCTTGTTGGCTTTTTAAATAGAAATGTCATTTGAATGTCATGGGTCCCTCCAGGTGTTTTCTTTGCCGCCCCACCTGGAGATGACAGTTCAGCCTCGGGTTAGTGGCTTATTAGTGGCTGGGAGGACACCTGCTGGCTCAGCGCCCTTTGGGGACAGCAGGACACTGATGGTCATCTTTTCCAGTTGTGGTGGGAAGTGACTCACTGTGGGTGTGTGTGCCCTTCCCTGCTCCACCTGCGTGGGGAGGAAACGGGTGTGCCCGGCACCCCTTCCAGGGCATCTGCCAGGTGTGTCCCCACTTCCCAGAGTGACGAGGTGCCTGCCCTTGGCCCCGGTTTTGCTGTGCACAGAATCTGGGGTCTGGTGGGCATTTGCTGCCATCCTGCATCCCGTCTCTGTTGGCTGAGCCGTGGTGGCTGGGTTCTCCCTGCAGACGCCGTGGGTGCCTCCTGGGGCCTGGCTGCGTGGCATCTGTCCTGAGCCAGGGCTGTGCTGCCTCCCTTCTGGCTGCTGGAGGAATGAACAGTAGGACGAATGTGGGCAGCCAGCGGCGTCCCCTCCCCTCCTGGGGCTGCACCCCCTGTGCCCCAGGGAGCTTTGGTCCCAGGCCCCCCCACCCCCTCTCAGGGCAGAAAGCACAGGCCTGTTTCTCTCTGGGCCCTGCATCTGCCGAGAACCTGTCAGCACCCTGGGCCTAGCATGCTGGACACATGACACCCATGCTCCAGGTGTGACCTGGGCCTCACCGGTTTGGGTGGGTCTCGGCCAGGCCACCTGCGATCCCATTTCTGTCTTCCTTTGTTATCATCAGGGAACACCTGCTCTGTCAGACACTTGTTAGACATTTGCCCAGAAGGTCACCTTTGCTCATGCAGCTGAGACAAGAGGAGCCCGGGGCTGAGACAGCCAGGTGACTCCCCGTCACCAGGCTCTGTGGCCGCAATAGGAGACGGCTTTGGTGGTGGTGCCTCTTGGGTTTCATTTGCCAAGTTTTAAAGTCAAGGGTCACCTGTGAGGGCAGACCCTCTGGTTTGGTCCACAGAGCCGGAGAGGAAATTCGTGGGTATTTAGTGCCCCGTGTCCGGACCCCAGGTTGGTGTTCCTGGGCCTTGGTGCCTCGTTTATCCTGAGAACATCTTCATGAGGCGGCCAGCAGGGACACCTTCCCCAAGGTGGTGTTGCTCCTAGAGTGAGAAATGACCAGGGGATTCGTATTTCAGGTGTCCCTCGGCCCCCGCCCTGGCCCCAGCGCTGCCTGACCTGCACACACTGTCCATCTGTCTGTCCTGCTCCCTCCCTTCCACTCTGCCCTTGTGCTATCCGTGGTCATGGGGACTCGTTTGCCTTCCAAGTTTGGGAGCAGGTGGCCTGCGTCTTTGCCCACCTGAGGCTGTGGGGGGGGCGCTCAGGGGGATGCCAGCACTTCTAAGTCCCGCCCTCTGACCCGAAGCTGCTCTGCTCGGTCCTGCAAGGGGACGCGTCCTCCACGTGGCGCTCACCTGCCCCGCCGATGTCACCGGAGAGCCGTGGGCCCTTCCAGCAGTTCCAGGGTGGCCTCATCTCCCCCTCTAACCCAGAGCTGCGGGTCTGCCTGGATTCCTGGGGCGGCACTGTCTGCAGGCCAGGGCACCTTCATGCCCCTGGTGTGATGGGCGCCCCCAAGGGAAGGGCAGCTTTGTGTGGTGGCCGAGCTCCGAACCCCTGGCTGTGCCCGTGGTGCCGTTTCCTATGACTTTTCTGCAGTGGAACTGTTGTTTGCTTGTTGTGGTGACAAAACAGGGGTTGTGAGGTTTGATGAACCCACAGACTGAAGTGCCCCCGGAGGAGACAGCCGGCGGAAGGTGTGCCAGTGGGAAGCTGTGAGGGGTTGTGCGGCTGGGGACGGTGCTGAACCAAGCCCGTGCCTGTGGGGAGCCCCGCGGTTGTGTCCAGGGACTCAGACCTGAGCCCCAGTGTAGCCACATCTGGGCTTGTGGCTTCCTGTGGCTGTGGCGTGGATGCCGCGGTTAGAAAGTCGGGCCGGCTGGTGGCCAATCTCTTGTCTGTCACTCGTACAGCTCCTGTGGACCGTGGTCTGGGTGGCAGAGCAGCTACATCAGTGCTTCTAGGTGACTGATCTTTGGAGATAAGAAAGGTGGTCAGGCTCCTATGACTGAGTCACACGTGTTCCAGCCGTCTGTACACTTACATGTATGTGCATCACCCGTGTGTGCTCACACGCCATCTGGGGTGGGAGAACCGTCTGAGAAATTTTCAGAGGGGCTCCGTCCGTGAAGGAGGCCGTGCCCCGGACTTCTGGGGGCCCCGGGCGGGAGTGGGCAGCTCTCGCCACCCAGCCTAAGGTGCGGGTGCCAGGCCTCACCCGGCGGCCAGCGCTCACGATGGCTTTCCTGGGCCACTGTGGTTTCTCCCGCTGGAGGAGAGGTTGTCTAAGAATCGTTCCTGAAATGTGAGTCAGTGTTTCCTACACTCATGTGGCTTCACTCCTGTTGTTTAATGAGAGTGAGGACAATGGTGGTTTCTGTGAAAGGTGACACCAGGGCTCAGGTTACAGGGCCCACGGCCGGGGTGTCCCTACCGAGCTCTATGAGCTACACCTTTGTATTCGTGTACATGCATGGTGTGTGCATGTAGGCACAGTGTATGTACATGTATGCACCATGTGTGCATTTGTACACACATGTGGTGTATACCTGTATGCACAGTGTGTGCACATATGCATGGTGTGTGTCCATGTATGCACAGCGTGTGCACATATGCATGGTGTGTGTACATGTATGCACAGTGTGTGCCTTTGTACACATGTGTGGTGTGTACATGTATGCATGGCTGGGTGTGTGTGTGGGTGTGTGTGCAGGTGCGCAGGTGCCCCATGGCCAGGATCCCCTGGAAGACCCTGCTTGAGGGGGACACGTGCTAAGGCTCGGTGGGGACGGGGCAGTGTAGAGAGCACACTGAGATACAGGAAGCAGGGACACACCAAAGGTCACACAGCTGGAAAGGTGGACGGGTGTGAGGCCAGAGCGGTGGTGCCAGCCCCACTGGAGAGCCTGCCTGCAAGCCCGTGGAGTCCCTGGAGGTCTGTTTGCTTGGGGACAGCCTCAGGCCCTGTTCCCCAGCTGCCGTGACCCAGTGGGCACTCATGCTGGCTGGTTGTGTGTCTTCTCAGCAAGTGTTTCCTGACACACGTGTCCTGGCTTCATATAGGGGGAAGGGGGGGCATTTAAGAAAAGCCGAGGGTTAGTAAAGATGTGGATGGGGCCCGCTGTTCCCAAGGTTCCCTCACACCGCAGTCAGGGCCCCTCGGGCCCCAAGGGCACTCGAGCAGGCTGCACCCCCGCTGGGGAGACGGGCTTCGTTGCTTAGCTCCATTTCTCAACTTCTCGTTTGCTGTATTTTCGCCGGCTCCGAAGGATGGAGATCCCAGTGGAGTCACGGGTCCTGTGGGGGAGGAAACGTTAAGCCACATCCTGAACAAGCTCCGGCCTCTGAGTCCCACCCTCTGATTCCTCTTCTCGGTGTCCCTGCACCGTGACTTCCTCTCAAACGGGGCCGAGCGAGTGTGGAGGAAGGACAGGGGCTCGGCCACTTCCTCAGACTCACAGTTGGCCTCTCAGGTGAGAAAACGATGCTCACTGAGGAGGAACTGGGATGTGGGCGCAGGTCCGAGCCCCTCTCCTCACTGACCCAGCAGGTGCCCCAGCACACGGGTGGGGCTCCAAAGACCACACGGCTGTGACAGACCTGTGAACACGTGAGGACACGGGACGGTATTCTTGGGAAGTAGAAGAGCCTCTGGGAGTGAACCGGCAGGTGGACGGGGCAGGGCAGTGAGGGGCGGGGCAGTGAGGACTCCCTGGCCCCCGAGGAGAGGCCTGCAGAGCCCTCGGCGCCCACAGACGGGCCCTGGACTGGTGTGAGGTTAGGAACCCCCTCCCATTCCTCTAGGAATGAGCTGGACTCAGGCTGGACCCTGGTCAGAGCCCAGGCCGGTTCCCGGAGATGGCTGCTGGTTCCCGGGCTCCAGGAAGCGCCCCTGACCTTGGCCCCCAGCTGAGCCCAGGTTTCCCAGGAAATGGGGCACCTGCCCGCCCTTTCTAACTGCCAGCCAGGCCTCGGGCGCAGCCTGCTTGACTCCCCTCCCCCTCCCACACCTAAAACAACATCCGGCCTGGCCTTTGTCAGCATCGGTAGTAAAAGGCTAGTGAAAGGCGCCAGGATTCCTGGGAAAGGCGGCCGTTCAGAAGGCGCTGGCAGTGTTTGGTGTCCCTCCTCGGGAACTCTGGGTAGACTTCCCTCGCGTCTGATCTACCGAGAAGGGGAAAACCCTCCCCAGGTGGAGAGGAAAACCTCACCCTCACCGGGTCAAGCCGCCCACACCAGCCACCTCTCTGCAGCCTGCAGGTGGAGGGACACAAGGGGACACACTAGCCTGGTGTCGGCTGGTGCCAGGGGAGCTCGGAGCCTGGCTAATGGTTAACCTCAGGGCTGTAGGTGCTCGCCCGGCTAAATGGCTGCTCTGTCTGTTCCCGTCCTTGAGTCAGAGCTCGGTCTCCGGCACATCCACAGAGTAGAGTTCCCGCCGCCCCAGCCACGATCCTTGAGTGGCCTTGGGGCTGCTCTGGTCCCTGGCAGCCCTGGTCCCAGGGCCCCCATGCCCAGCCCTCTGTGGTGACCCAGGGTCAGCTTGTCTCCCAGGGAGGGGCCTTAGGAAGTGTTTTCCAGTGAGGGACTGTCCCAGGTTGCAGGTGGCAGTCTGCAGTGGTGCAGAGTGTGAGGCCCTGGGAGGCCACGGTCCCCTGTGCTCGGTAATGGAGACAGCAGTGAGTACTGATGGGGTGTCGAGGGCTTATTATTGATGCCCTGATCCAAGTGAAGTCAGGACAGGCCTCAGATCCACATGGCCTTTAAATTATGAGTGCCTTTTACCCACAACAGGAGCACTGGTTAAAAATGCTCACAGCAGCATGTCCCCCCACCAAAATATAAGTCTGCTGGTTAGGGTGGCGTGGGCAGGGGAGCCCAGGTTCTGGAATCGGATCCCTTCCAGGCTCCTCCTTGGTCTCAAACCGTCCGTGTTCTGATCTCTGAACGTGGATGTGGGCCAGTGTGAGGCCTGCGGTGTCCTAGCCTTGCTGGGGAAAGTCTGTGTTTCGAGAAGCGGGGGCCGAGGCTGTCGTTACATCTTGTTTACCCTCCTGGGCTTTTATAACAGGATCATCTATGACACTTACTTTCCTTAGAGCATGAGGAAACGGTTCTGTAAAAAAAAAAAAAAAAAGAGAGGAAGCTTTGGCCTTGGCGGGAACCGTGTCCCATTCGGGACTCAGCTGGACAGAAAGACAAGGATGGTTGTGTGGTTCCGGGCCTCGCGCGTTTCTGCCCGAGGCGTCTCCGCCCCACTGCCCGGTGCCTGGGTTGGGAGCAGCCTGGCCTGGCCCCTCCCTGGGTCCGGGGCCGAGCCTCGGAGGGTAGACATGGCCTGAATCTGGGCAGCAGCAGCAGCTTTGTGACTTTGGGCCGAGATGCCCTTTTCTGATCTAGACAACAGACTTTAAAAAGTACTTGAAAACAACAGCAAAACTTCCAGAGTCCCCTTTGGGGGGTGCCGGGAACCCGGTCGCTCTGGGAACTGGTGAGCAAGGAGAGGTAATCGAGCATTTAACCTTCTCTTGTACCCCGTGTCCCTCGGGGTTAAACATTGATGGGGGAGGTTTGCTGTAACGGGCTCCCGCCGACTAATGCTGAGAAAGTGACAGAATGAGGACATGCCAAGTTTCGGATCCCTCTCAGCCGTGACCCTCTTTCCCCTCTGTGGTCACAAAAGGAAGCTGGCAGGGTCACGGGGGCCTCACGGGAGGGACCGGCTGCCCCTCGGCCGAGCCCGTGCCAGAGTCGGTGGAGGGCCCAAGCCCAGCCCCATCCACGGCTTACGGGAAACGCGGGCCAGAGTGGCCCGAAACTATTCCGAGGCTCAGCAGATTCCAGAAGCGGGGGCGGGCGGGGGG